ATTTCCTTTGATAATATATCATGTTTTGCTTATAATAATAATAATAATAATAATAATAATAATAATAATAATAATAATAATAATAATAATAATAATAATAATATGTCGATATTTCAAAATATTAACTTAATTATAAAGGCGGGGTATACTAAAACATAGATTTATATTAAAATACAAAAATTATTCCAATAAATCATAAACTTATGTTAAAGTACATAAATTATCCCTTTAAATTATAAAAACATCAAAAATAAAAAGTTTTTATACATTTCTAATTTTTTTACTTAAAAATTAAAACTATAAAAAAAATACAATTATAAGAATGTTGAGTTAGATAATTGCTTGAACCGTAATACTTGCATAACTTGCTCCCACTTTAACACTGATGGGAAAGAAAAACAAGCAAAACTAAAGAAATTAAATCTTTCTATGTGTATTATAATGATGTGGTTTGTCATTGTCCTTGTGTTACTATGTTGCATCGCATAATGGGGGATAAGAAGGGTTAAAGATGTTGGATGAGTTTGACACAACGTGCATTAAAAGGAAAAGAGCATACAAAAGCATTAGAACTTGAAAATTTGATACAAATCTCTCTCTCTCTCTCTCTCTCTCTCTCTCTCTCTCTCTCTCTCTCTCTCTCTCTCTCTCTCTCACACACACACACACACGCGCGCGCGCGCGCGTGCGCACACGGACACACACAGGTACACAGACATGCATACACGCACACAAAATTTGTCGTTATAAGAAAGAAAGAAAGAAAAAATTAGTAAAGTCGGTCAAGTTTAACTAAGATTACTAATTTTTCAATTAGTTTACTTGTTCAAATTTGTGTTGACTTCGAATATTAATCATCAACAATTTATACCCTATTTAACACAAATTTGACACATAAAATCGGTTGATTTTACGTGTTTACACACAATTTTAACAACCTTGTTTCACATGTCTATCCATATCTAGAACACATATATTATATTCAAACAAACGACTAGTCTCCGCCTCAACCACATTAATACTCTTTTGGATAATGAATAATCCTTTGATACTAATGCATCGTGGAAAATAATACAAGAATGACATAACTTTAGTGAAATGAAAAGGTTCATTAGCACCAGACCTTCTCGTTGAAAATCTAACAATAATACTAATTTAGTTGAGAGTGAAGATGTGTGGGACAATGAACAATGATAATCAAAATAAATGGCCTCAAGAAAAAAAGTAATATGCCAAATATCGTAAGAAAATTCGCAACAAGTAAAAGGAAGATAAAAGACGATTATACATGGAATTTGTTTACATAACTTCAACAAACATCTACTCTTTAGAAAGAGAGAAAATCTCTGATTCATTATACTTCCATTATAATTTCAACAATCGATTCCACTGTTGTTTCTTTTCAAAATTTCAACTAATTCAACCGGTTGTCATTTGGTGCAATCAATTATCACTGTGGTTATTTTCTTTAAGAATCTAGTTTTCTCTGTTACGCGATTTTCTTCCAATTTCCAACTTCAGCCACCAAACCAGTTCTAATTTTGTTCATTCAAAAACATCTCCATATATTTTCTAACAAGATCAATACATATATCAGAATAATTATCACCACTCTATCCATTTTTCTCATGAATTAAATACTTAGATTCATGCCCCAAATCATTCAATCTCATATCAATTTTCATGGACTCAATTGATTTCAATAACACAACAACAACATGTCAACACACACAATTGCAACTCACATACTAGCATCTAAAAACAATATTATCATCAAATTTTCGTCAACATTTATCATAACTCAAAGGAAGAACAAACCATATAGAAGATTAAGAGTCCCTCCATTCTATCCTTCATATATATACCTATTATTGAAAACAATTCCCCAACCTTACCTTAAATTTTTCCAGCAAAGTTTTGTTGTAGAGTCTGGGAGAGTCGGGAGCACAAACGGGACTAATGCATTAGGACCACAAGAGAGGGAGACGTCATGTCTCAACCCAAAACCTTAAGGTGTTAGGTAAATGAATCATCTCTCTTATAAATCAAACATTTCACCAATTCATAAGTAATGTGGAACTTTAACTATTCACACTTGCACCTAACACTCTCCCCCACAAGTGTGAGTCCTTCACATCCTATTACAGGATCCAACACTAGATCCAGCTCTCGCTCCCCCAAAAAGACGAACCACGACTCTGATACAACTGTTGGGGATTCTAGGAGAGTCGGGAGCACCGACGAGACTAACGCTTAAAAACCACAAGAGAGAGAGACACCACATCTCAACCAAAAACCTTAAAATGTTAAGTAAATGAGTCATCTCTCTTATAAATCCAACATTACTTTAACCACTCACACTTGCTCCTAACATTCTCCCCACAAGTGTGAGTCCTCCACATCCTATAGCAGGATTGAACACCTGATCCAGCTCCCGCTCCCCCCACAAAGTCGAACCACAACTTTGATATCACTGTTGGAGAGCCCGGGAAAGTCGGGAGTACCAACGAGACTAATGCTCCAGGAACACAAGAGAGGGAGACGCCACATCTCTACTCAAAATTTTAAGGTGTTAGATAAATGAGTCATCTCTCTTATTAATACAACATTTCACCCATTCATAGGTAATGTGGACTTTATCCACTCACACTTTCACCTAATAAACTCTTCCAAGCTCTGTCAAGTGATGCTCTCTCTATGCATTCTCTTTCTCTTTCTCTTGCCTTAACCTTCTTTTCCTCTTTTCTCCTAAACATTCTACGTATTTCTCAACTCCTTCATTCTAATTCTCTTTTTACACTAAAAACCTAGTCTCCTCATTAGACTATTCCTATTTTACCCTTACTTTTCTTTCTAATCCCCACCATACCCTCAATATCTCTACAACTTCTATTTTCTTTTTATCTTTTTATTTTATTTAAACAATAAAATCAAAATATTATTTTAATTAATAAAATAATTCTAAGTTATTCTATCTTTCTTTAATTACTCTCCACACCCAAATACAAGGTCACTCACCCTCTCTCTCACCCACATTCATTTATCCACCCACGTACAATAATTAAATAAATACACAAATAAATACACAAAAGTATAATTAAATTAAAATAAAACAATTTGTTAAAACTGGGGTGTTACAGATATTCTCAAAATTAGTTCTTAGGGAGAGAAACAAGTATTTTCATTATACATAACCTTTATAAATTCTCTGGTGTCGTTCTCTTTTCTTTTATCTCTTTTATTTTTTGCTTAATTTTTTTATTTCAAATTTCTACTGCATATTAAATAAATAAATAAAATATTTTTAAACTCTGATTTTGAAAATGATTTTTTTTTAAATTAACGATTTTCAAACCTCCACAATTCACTCATTCCCTCATGTGTATATAGTCACATGTTCAACAAGTGGTATCAGAGCCTAACATCTATTTAAAGACTAATCATCTCAGGAGGAATATGACTTTCAATATTATTTTTATCCCTACTCACCGTATTAATGATGACATAGTAAATAAATCAGATTTCCTTTGGATCGAATAATAAAATTATAGTTTGCCCTAACTCAACCCTACAAAACCGATTTTGTAGGGTTGAGTTAGGCCAAACTCTAATTCTAATAAGGTATCACGAGCCTATCGATTTGGGTCACCCATCATTTATATATGCGCATCAAGCACAAAATGTGTTGGACGCAAGGCGGTGTATTGGAAAAACCAAACTCTGATACCATGATAGAATTAGAGTTTGGCCTAACTCAACCCTACAAAATCGGTTTTGTAGGGTTGAGTTATGTCAAACTCTAATTCTAATATCGAAGAAGAAAGGAGAAAGTTTTAAATTGATTTTAAAACTAAAAGCTCCTTAGTCATGTTTTTAGATGAAAGTCAAATTTTTTATGTTCATACTTTTAATTCCAAAAATGTGAGACACTCTTGAAGTAAACTATGGAGTTTCTTTAAGTATCAAATAAGAGAGAGTGAACACTCGAGACGAAGAAGATAAATTCTTCTTTCACAAATCCTTTTCAATTCTTAGAAAATTTAGAAATAATATTAGAACTTTTGTCGCTAACAAATATCTAAAAATTAAAGATTGGAATCAGAAATTTGATCCAATCTTTAAATCGAAAGATGAGAATATTTATGGTTTTTAGAAAAAATTCAAGAAGGAAGAAATTGTCGAGAAATTGAATGAGTTAATTCAACTGTTAAATAATGAAGACATGAGCTCAAATCTAGAGGAATCTATAACAACTTCATCAAAGAACGCTTGTGAAGAAGAAAAATCAATTCCAATAAACTCCTTGAAAAAAATAATGCGGTTAAACGATCCTTAGTAGATTCAACCTTAAATAAAGAAACTTTATTAAGAAGATAATATAAAAAAGAAGTTTCATCCATAGAAAAAAAAAAGTCTCAACACACCATAAATTCAAAGATTCAACATTAAAAAAAAAACTCAAAGAACTAATTTTTAGTAAACTCTTTCAACCAAAAAGATTGTTTATACCTAAAATTAGGCTATAGGTGTGAATATGCCAATTTTGTTTGTGTATAATACTAGTGGACTAGATGTACAGAAATAGTATAGTATAATCTGTTCAAAATAGAAGAACAAAATAAACATTTCCAAAAGCAAATTTAAAATCAATATGAAAGTGAAATTTTGGTCCTTTTTTATGAATTTGGTGAAAGAAGATAAAATTGACTAAGACTATATGAACAAATAATAATAAATATTAAAAATTATGGTAATAATCATCAAATTGCTAAATTTTTTTATTTTTGATATTTTTTTTAAATTTTGTTTTTAAATAAATATTCATAATTAAACTAATTAAATATTTTGATTTTTTTAGATTTTAAAAATAAATTAATAAAATGACATATAGTGATAAATAGAAAAATAAAAGACTAAAATTATCAGAGCCTCTTCGTTATCTCTTCGCTTATAATTCAATATCGAATTCACTTCACAAATTCACACCAACTAGATCGATCATGGAAGGAATAGAACACAGAACAGTGGAAGTAAATGGCATCAAAATGCATGTTGCAGAAAAAGGCAAAGAAGGACCAGTTGTTTTGTTCCTTCACGGCTTCCCTGAACTCTGGTACTCCTGGCGCCACCAGATTGCGGCCATCGGTTCCCTCGGTTACCGCGCGGTGGCTCCTGATCTCCGCGGCTACGGCGACACCGATTCTCCTTCTTCGATTAGCAGCTATACGATTTTCCATTTGGTTGGTGATATTGTTGCTCTTATAGACTCACTTGGTGTTGAACAAGTGTTTCTTGTGGCTCATGATTGGGGTGCTATCATTGGTTGGAATCTCTGCTTGTTTCGACCTGAAAAAGTGAAAGCTTATGTGTGTCTCAGTGTTCCATATTTACCAAGAAATCCCAAAATCAAACCTGTTGATGCCATGCGAGCTCTGTTTGGAGATGATTATTATGTCTGCAGATTCCAGGTCCGTTAGTATTTGTGTTTTCAATATTAATTAATTAATTAACAAACTACAATTTTTTTTTTTAAGTTGATTAATTTCTACTTAGATTATTGCGTTTGAATCTGTCAGGTAACTAAACACAATTAAAATCTGTGCTTGTGGTAGAATGGGAATTGTTTGTTGTAAGAAAAGTTGGTGTTTATCTATTCTAATAATATATTCTAACTTTGCAAGTTGTTACTCCAAACGAAGTTCATTGGCTCTGGACAATATACTATTTTGAAATACATAATTAAGTATTCCTTTATTTGTTGTTGCTGCATTTTATATAAGTGAAAGTGATTGTGATTGTGATTTTTTTGTTTAATGTATCGTTTTAAAAATATACTTTAATGGTACACAATAATTGACTTATTCAATAATTTTATGTAAATTAATAAAATATATAATAAAAAATAAATAAGAATATTATTAGTACATCATCTTATTAAATATTGATATTATCCCCTGCGTGATTTTTTTTATAGTGGAGGGTTTAGTTTATTTTTATTTTTATGAGAAACACATTTTTGGTTGGATTTTTTGTGAACTTTAAGGTGGGCCTGAATAGTTTAAAGGTATTTCATCTTTAATATATGAATGGTATTGTTTTTATTGATGTGCCGTCAGTGGATACTTTATTGACAATTAATGTCATTCTTAGGAGTTTTGAATATTTGTTTTAGGGATGAAGGTTAACTTTGTTAAAAGTTGTATTTTTTTTGGTGTAAATGAGGAGACAAAGTTTTTGGATTTGGCAGAAGATTTTCTACATTATAAAGCTGGTAATCATTCTTTTAGATATTTGGAACTTTACTTTAAATGTTAATCTTAAGAAAGTGGGGCCTTAATATTTTATAGTTTAGGTCGTGTCTAAACGGCTTGATTCATAAAGGAAAATGTTTGTGAGTATTGGTTTTAGGATTGACATGTTGAATTCAATTCTAAATAATTTATCGATTTTCTTCCTTTCTTTTATGAATATGTGAATTTCAGTCTAGTATAGCAAATTAGATGGATTGCAAAGGCGGTTTTTTGGTGTTCAAAAGGGAGGGGTTAAGGTTGCTCGGGTGAAGTGGGAGGATGTGTGAAAACCCAAGAGGGTGGGCGATTTAGGGGCTAGGTATTTGATGATTGTTAATTTGAGGTGAATGATGCTAGATGGTAGGTCATCTTTGTGAAAGACTATCATCTCTTTCAAGTATAACTATCAAGTAGGTGTTTCCCCGTTGGGTTGTAGGGAGGATAACAGACAAAAGACTTCTTCTTGGTGGAGATAAAGTTCCTTTCTTGTGTTCAAAAGGGATGGGATAAGGTTGCTTGGGTGAAGTGGAAGGATGTGTGAAAACATAAAAGGGTGGGTGATTTAAGGGTTAGGGATTTGATGGTGTTAATTTTGCTCTGTTAAATAAGTGGAGGTAAATGATGCTAGAAGGTAGACCATCTTTGCGAAAGGCTAACATTTGATCAGTCGTCAGATTAGTTCGCATCTTTGAGAACTAGGTTCTAATATGATGTTTTGGTGGGGGTGAATTCGTTGTGTGTCTCTTTTGACAAATTGTTCCTTATCTCAGACCAAAATTCTATCGTAGTGGGATCGATGGGCGCCTGGGAGGGGAATGACTAGGTTTTAGTTTTTAGTTCTATTGAAATGAAAAATTATCTCTTGGTCTAAAAAAAAGGCTCTTGACATATCTCATTAAAGGATTTTCAGTAACATTTGCTTACATTAGACTTTCCTCCTTGGTGGTTTGTGTTGATTATAAGTCAGATTGGATGTTTTAGGGTTTGACTAGGTCTTGGAATAGACGTGCACTTTCTAAAATGCTGGTTTTTCGTTGGTGGTTTTGTCGATAGTAGTTTAGGGATGTATCGTGTGTATATGGTAGGTTGAGTCTGTGGATCATTTGTTTGACTTGTGTAAGTTTTTACCTCTTTGATCTGATATAAGGATCTTAGTTGTGTGAGAATGCCTATACCTCTCTCGTGTTTGATTTTAAGGATTTTCGAGAATTTTCAAGTAGTTGAATTGGGTAAGAAAACTTGTTTATGCCTGCTTTCGATCTGGCATTCTGTGGTCAGGATTATTTAGAAAATCACAATAACATTATATTTTTGTCAAGAAAGTATCTTGGTTAATCCATGGGCGAATTTGATAATTGGTCTGACTTTGAAGTGGGTCTACTCGCATGTTCCGACTTCTGTCATCTCTTTGTTTAACTAGGAGCACGACTCGCTCTGGTGCCTTAATTTTTAGGAGTGTGTTGAGTGGCTAGTTGTAATTCTATGTTTTTTTTGCAAGTAGTGGAGTTTGCCTCTCTTTGAGTCGTCTCTTGCTAGCGGTGTGTTGTTGTAGTTCTTGAGTTGATATGTTTGTTTAGTGTGTTGGATTGGGTTTATCTGCATGTTTTTATGTGTCTTTAATCTATTTTAGAGCACAACTTCTCCTTTCTTCTTGATTTATATATTTTGATCTTCAATAGAAATGAATATAAATCAAAATATATTTAATTAAAAATTGAAAATTACAATTATTTCAAGTGTACAATTTCAAAAAAATTAATATTATCTTAAAAATTGAAATATTAGTTTTTTAATATTGTAAATATATTTTAAAAATCAAGATTAGATTGAATGGCTCTAACTCACTTGCTATCACTATTTGATTTCCCTTGTAGTTATTACTTCTTCCAAATTCCTATCTCGAGTTTCAAAATATGGTTTGTCTGTTTTCTATAAATGACCATACAATATGACAAATTGAATATTTCACTTAAATTTACAGGTGGCTTTATATTTTCATTTTTTATTATTTTTAATAGTACAATTGTACTATTAGTATCTTTCACTTAAATTTGCAGGTGGCTTTATATTTTCATTTTTTACTATTTTTAATAGTACAATTGTACTATTAGTATCTTTCACTTTTCAGCACTATTGTACTATTTTTTATCGTGCATAATCCAATACCAACACATGTGATAGGAACCCAGTAAAACAGAAGCTGAATTTGCAAAAAGCCCAGAACTAGTTCTGAAGGCCATGCTTACAGGTAGGAGTGGTAAGCCACTTATCATACCCAAAGAAGGTTTCTTAGCTTTTCCAGAAGCTATAAAAATAAGGCCCCTCCCTTCATGGCTCTCTCAAGAAGACCTCAATTACTATGCTTCTAAATTTGAAAAGACAGGATTCACCGGTGGCCTTAACTACTACAGAAATTTTAACTTGTAAGTCTCTATTCTTTTGTCCATCATTCACATGCAATTTATATAATTGTTTTTGGGAAGAAACCAGATATCCTCTCTCAAAAGAACTTAACAGTGGTGCGTGTTTATGGCTGAGTTTGAACGCAAGACTTATGATTAAGCAGAATGAGATTTCTTATCATCTCATCCAAATGCTTTTGGAATCCAATTTATATTAATGTGCTCATGTGTATATATATTGTTTGTAGAAATTGGGAGCTGACAGCAGCGTGGACCGGAACACAAATTAAAGTACCAGTGAAGTTCATCACAGGTGATTTGGATTTAGTTTACCTTTCTCTTGGTTCGAAGCAATACATTGAGAGTGGTAATTTCAAGAAAGATGTACCAAATTTGGAGGAAGTAGTCATACAGGAAGGTGTGGCTCACTTCAATAATCAAGAAGCTGCTGAGGAAATCAATAATCACATTTATGAATTCATCAAGAAGTACTAGTTACGATCTTGTTATCAACTCAATACTTAAGCAACTATTCAGTAAAGTTTTGTCTAAATTGTATTCTAATAAATAATTTAGCTGCAATCTATGCTACTTTCTACTCTAGTAAGAGACCTGTGCATTTGCATGGATCACACACTGTCTAAACAAATTAAATACAATAATAGATAAAAAATATGTGTAAAAAATATGTAAATTAAAAGGTGTTATCCCATCGAAAATGTATATTGTTGTAAAAAAAAAAGTAATCATCTATTATTGCATTTGTACGGGTTGTATAATTGTATAATGTTGTTATCAGAGGCGGCCTTGGGTCCAGGCAAGCAGACCCACAATCAGAGCAATGTTGATATGGATTAGTCGTACACAAAGATTTATTGCACTTAATAGAATTCAAATTTAAAATTTTGGGATGAAGATACTCTTAAAACCCAAGCCTTTACTTGTAGGTTTTAAAATAATAACTTAATTATAAAGGTAGAGAATAACATAGTTTGTATGAAATTACATAAATCATTCCACAAAATCATAACTTGAAAGAAAATAAATAAAATATCCCTTTAAATTATGAAAACATCTAAAAAAAATATGAGTTTTATAAATTCCCAAGTTTATTAACTTAAAAGGTGTTTTAAAAAATAGGTTAATTTCATCCAAAGTTTAACTCGATTTTTTTTTCCAAATAACCTATTTTTTAAAAACAAATATCCAACTAATCTTTCTTCTACATATTTCTAAAATTAAGTTATTTTTTAAAAAAAAATTCAACACAAAAGAGTCGTCAATCTAATGACAACAGTGTACAAACACATAAGAAAAATTACCATTTTAATTGGCGACAATGTATAAACACAGAGATTGTCTCTTCTATGTGTTTGTACATTTTCACCAATTAGATTAATAACTCTTCTCTTATGTGTGTGTACACTGTTACCAATTGTATTGATAACTCTTTTATGTTTAATTTTTTTTTTTAAGTGAGTTAAGTTGAAAAATATATAAAAAAGTGGATTTGTTTAAGTATTTATTTTAAAAAGTTGATTATTTGAATAAAAATAAAATTCTTCTCCAAATAATAAAGAATTTATAATATTTAAAATGAAAAATCAAATTATATGAAGGTTGAATTAGATGATTGCTTGAACCAACAGTAGTTGCATGACTTGCTCCTACTTCAACATTATTTGAATCAAATTTTGTGAAAAATTATTTAAAATATATTTTTTATTTTTCATTACATAAAAAGTCATATAACAATGATAAAATATTTAAATAGATCTTTATAAAAAAATGTATATAAATTTCTTATTTAAAGACATCTTTAGAATGATTTAAAAAAAAAAATTAACAAAAAGATTAAACATTTTTTAGTAAAAGTGGTAAAAAAAAATATTACAGAAAAGATTAAACATTTTATAAACAAAATCAATTTTTCTTAAAAAGGAATAAACTTTTTAAATAAATTTTCATAGATAGTATAAATGTATTTGAAAGCAATTGATTTGTTGCTAGGCGAATAGGGATAGTTAGCAAATTTTCATTCTTTCTTCCTTCGGTCACGCACACCTCATCAATGTTGAAAGTTGAAAACAAAACACCTCTTCCTCAAAATCGCCCAATTCAATTTCATGTTATCTCTCAGATAATATTTCAATTTCAAATTCACTTCACAAATTCACACCAAAGAGATCGATCATGGAAGGAATAGAGCACAGAACAGTTGAAGTGAATGGAATCAAGATGCATATTGCCGAGAAAGGAAAACAAGGACCGGTTGTTTTGTTCCTTCACGGCTTCCCTGAACTCTGGTACTCTTGGCGCCACCAGATTGCGGCTCTCGGTTCCCTCGGTTACCGCGCGGTGGCTCCGGATCTTCGCGGCTACGGCGACACCGAAGCTCCCGCTTCGATTAGCAGCTACACGATTTTCCATTTGGTTGGTGACATAGTTGCTCTTATAGACTCACTCGGAGTTGAGCAAGTGTTTCTTGTGGCTCATGATTGGGGTGCTACCATTGGTTGGAATCTCTGTTTGTTTCGACCTGAAAGAGTGAAAGCTTATGTGTGTCTGAGTGTTCCATATTTTCCGAGAAATCCCAAACTCAAACCTGTTGATGCCATGCGAGCTGTATTTGGAGATGATTACTATGTCTGCAGATTCCAGGTTCGTTCGTATTTGAGTAGTTGCGTTTCCAAAGTATTCCTTTATTTGTTGTTGCTGCTTTTTATATAAGGGAAAGTTATTGCGAGTTTTTTGTTTTAGTTAAGTTTAATGTATCGGTTTTAAAAATGTACTTATTGGTACACAATACTTTTATTTAATAATTTTACGTAAATTAAAAATATTTATAAATAAAATATAAATAAGAATATTATTTAATAAGTCAAATATTGGTGGAGGGTTTAGTGCCTTTATCAGAAAGACGGTTTTGGAGCTTTCGTGGATTTTAAAGCAGGCCTGAATGGTTTAAATGTATCTCACTTTTAATATGCGTGTGACATTGTTCTTATTGGTGTCTGCCTGTGGATAATTCGTTGACAGTTAATGTCATTCATAAGAGTTTTATATACTTGCTTCCGGATCTAACATAGGGTTTTTTTTTTTTCACTTTAAAGCTGGTACTATTTCTTTAAGGTATTTGAGAATTCATGTAGATGCTAATCCTAAGTAAGTGGTGCCTTGAGATTCTATAGCTAAGGTTGTGTCTAAGCGGTTTGATGCTCGGAGGAATATGTTTGTAGATTTTTTTACCCACCTACCACAATTTGAAACAAAAAACACTAAAATGTCACTACTTAGAAAAAAAATCATCAGGATGTCATACTTTCTATTTGGGTTTGGCCAATGGTTGGACGACTCTATGAAGGTTTTTCTGCTGCTGTATGGGTTCGGCGAATGGTTGGCCGAACCACTAAAACATAAAATAAAATAAAAAAATGTGTTCTTCAATGATTCGGCCAACTATTGGCCGAGCCCATGCAGCAACAGAAAAACCTTCATAGGGTCGTCCAACCGGTGGCCGAACCCAAAGAGAAAGTATGACATCCTGGTAATTTTTTTTTTCCCAAGTAGTGACATTTTGATATTTTTTGTTTCTAATTGTGGCAGATGGGTAAAAAAATCATGTTTGTAAGTATTGGTGGTAGGATTGACATGTTGAATTCAGTTTTGAGTAATCTATCGATTTTCTTCTTTTCTTTTATGAAAATTGTTAAATATAATTCATTGTGATTTGATATGATTAGATTTGATATCATATGATTAGATTTGATATCATATGATTAATTTGATATAATTAGATTTGATATCATATGATTAGATTTGATATCATATGATTAGATTTGATTTAGAATATTTTGGGCCTTTTATGTTTTGGGCTAGTGTAAACCTAAAACTATAAATAGGGTGCCTTGCTTTGTATTCTACATCACAACAGAACAAATTTCACAGTTGCAGTTAGCAAGTGAAAGTTCAATAAGAAATCCCACAGTTGTGGGTAACACATTCTCTCCAAATACTTCTTCTCTCATTCTTCTCTTTCTTGTGTGTTCTTCTTTTCTTTTGTTGTTCTTGATAATTACTTGTTATTACCATTACTATCATATTGTGGGTTTGTTTGTCAATCTTGAGATCAAGATTGAAGGGAATTCTTCATAGGGTGTGAAGTGAATTTCCAACATCTGGTAACTAGAGCTCCGGTTAAGAGATTCAAGGAAGGAAGATAGTGATGGCGATGAACTATCCAAACGACAACTTTCCGGCGACCCTGCCAATTCTCAAGAAAGACAATTATGAGAATTGGTGCAAGCAGGTTAAGGTGATCTTCTGTTATCAAGATCTTTGGGATCTTGTGAAGGACGGAGTAACATCGCTGGTGGAGAACGCAACGGAGGCGGAAAAGGCTGCGCACAAAGAATTGAAGAAGAAGGATTATAAAGCACTCTTTATAATTCATCAGTGTGTTGATCCTGATAACTTTGAAAAGGTTAGTGATGTTGATTCAGTAAAAGAAGCATGAGAGATTCTTGAAAAGTCGTTTGGAGGCGCAGAGAAGGTGAAAGAGGTGAGGTTACAAACTCATAAGAGAACCTATGAGTTGCTTCAGATGGAAGACAACGAAAGCATTACAGATTTCTTCACCAGAGTTACAAGGTTGGTGAATCAAATCAAAGTATGTGGAGAAACGCTGACGACGAAAGCAGTTGTCTCAAAGATTTTGAGATCGTTGGCTCCAAAATTCGACCACGTGGTAGTTGCCATAGAAGAGTCGAAAGATCTGTCAGTGTTGACGAAGGAAGAGCTTCAAGGGACTCTTGAGTCTCATGAACAGAGGATGGCTGAGAGAGTTGCAGGAAAGTCGAAAGATATGGCTTTGCAGGCACAGACGGAAAAGGAGAGAAAAAGCAAAGGTAGCTGGAATGGCAACAAAGGAGGAAACCAGTCGAATCAAAAGAAACCTTGGAACCAAGGCAACCAAAGAAGTGGTGCTGCAGGTAAAGGAAGAGGTGGTGATCGAAAGACAGACAAAAGCCACATTCAATGTTTCAATTGCCAGAAGTATGGTCATTATGTTAGTGATTGTCCAGAAAAGAAGAGAAATCAAGAGACTGATGCAAAGCTGGCGAAACATGAAGAAGAAGAAACGTTGCTAATGGTCACAACAAACGATGAAGAAAGATTCCAAGATCAGTGGTACTTGGACTCAGGATGCTCATCACACATGATTGGAAGGAAAGATTGGTTTGTCAACATGAAGCCCTCGTCGAAGAATACGGTGAAGTTTGCAAATGACAACACTTTAGCAGCTGAAGGTGTTGGTGATGTTCTGATTATGAGGAAAGATGGCAAAAGGTCAACAATTTCCAATGTGTTGTACATACCAGGCATGAAGAGTAATTTGCGCAGTATAGGGCAGTTTGTCGAAAAGAACTACAAGGTAGTTGTCGAAGACAAGATGATGAGAGTCCTCGACGCAGGTGGTAGACTAATCTTGAAGG